GTGTGGTCCTGTCCACAGGAAATGCGCTGAGCTTTCTTCATATTCAAACACTGAACAGGAGCTGGTGTGTGTCTGTCTATAAGGAAAAGGATTGTCAGTGTTATTATGTTACCAGATTATAATGTTCATTAACATACAATAAAGGTAGGACATTTATTGTAAAGCCACAGTACCTTTTGTGTCTCCCAGCCCGAGCTGTCCACAGTCATTTCTCCCCCAGCTGAAAACACCTCCAGAGACAGAGAGGGCGAAACTCTGGTCTCCTCCTGCAGCGACCTGGATCAGGGGGATCGCTGACAGTGATGGCACATGTTGAGGTGATCTGCAGACAGACTTTCTCGTACCCAGACCCAGCTGGCCCCTGCAGTCCTGACCCCACGTATACAGCTGACCATCTGTGGGAGAATCAGCTTGTCTCTGTGAAACACTCTCACTCCTGCTATCTTCAGCTTTTACTCAGAGTTTATGTTTAATGTCATGACCAAATGGAAATAAAATTTCCAATTCAGATTTCATATATAAATGCTTGTATGCACAAAAGATAATGTGTACCTGATGGAGAAAGTGAGACTGAAGTTTAAAATTCACCCGTCCTTCTAGGCTTTAAATGATTAGATCTTATTTTGAGTGCACCAATAAACTGCTTTAACCTGCCCACAGTATCTAAACACACAGTGGCAAAATATTGTTTGTTCCTACTTCTAAAATACTCTAATTACTCATTAGATAGATCGATACCTTTATTTGGTTGTTTACAATTGTACCATGCATGTGTATTATAATTATACAATTTAAAATATGTGGAGGAATGTATATCTATATAGACATGTATACAAAGACAAATAACATGAACTACATGACAGATGTTGTTAAATTACAACCTTAGGGTCCGTACAATTATGAAGTGCAAGTTGGCTGGACTGATTCAGGGTCTCTTAATTATTTTAGCTTGTTTAAATAAAAACCTAAGATGAGATGGCTGCTGCTCCCTGACCCTGGTTCTGCTGGAGGTTTTTTCCTGTTAGAAGGGAGTTTTTCCTTCCCACCATCACCAAGTGCTTCCTCAGAGGGGTTCTTTGACTGTTGGGATTCCTCTCTATTATTGTAACGCCTTTACCGTCAAACATAAAGTGCCTTGACGTGACTGTTGTTGTGATATGGTGCTATATAAATAAAACTGAATTGAACTAAAAATCTTTAGCGCTTGCAAAATTCGACTGTACCTTTGGTCAGTGCAACTGAGTGCTGACTCCCACAAGCAACCTGAGAAACCTGCTTGTTAGAAAAAGCTTCCAGTGGCCTGAAAGAGAAAGAGCAGAAGAAGAGAACAGAGCTGAAACAGCCATTTATGAGCGCTAACTATGAACCCAAATAAACATGAATCACACTGTATACACTCCTAGGACTACGATGGAGTATTAGGACCACATTAAGAAAAAGAAATTGTGTCAATTTTGAAAATAAAGTTGACACACCCACCCAGCACATCACCCGGATACCCACAGGAGGGCGGTACAGGACAAAAACAAAAACCAAAACAGACTGAAAATCATCACATATTCCAGGGCTGGAATACATATATACTGTTTATACTGTATCTAATTATTAGAAACTATTTAATATACGATTCTTACTTTTTTTGCCTTCTGACCAGATGCAGCTGGTCACACACTGTGTTTATGTAAGGAAAAAATGTCTTGTAACTTAAATCGATTCTGCACGATTTTACAAACTCATCTACAAAAAGCAATTTGTAAAAGGTAGACTACAGCAGCACTGGCAGTTTGTCTTGAAACAGCTGTCATCTCCACATTATAACACATTTTCGACTTTTTTAAATAATATTTTTTTCTTAACGTGATACTAATACTCCTTCTCA